GTTTTGATTTCTACTGTGGCTTCTAGAATGGCGACAAACGTGATCATGCAGCAGACACTCTTGTATCCGGCTGCTTCCGCTCGACACAGTTTTCAAAGTCCTTGCACACTCGCTCGCAACAATCCACGCCTTTCTGCCGCCGAGCAGCTATCTGTTGCTGACGTACTGCCACCGCACTCAGACATTGGATGCTGGCGGGTATTTTGGCTGTTTCTGATTTGGGGACTTTTAGCAATAAAGCTGTGATGGACATTCTCTTTTGTTTGTTTGTTTAAGAATTTTATTTGACAGGGAGAGAGCGAGAGAGCATAAGCAGGGGAGGCAGCAGAGGCAGAGAGAGAAGCAGGCGCTCCGCTGAGCCGGGAGCCCGATGCGGGACTCGATCCCAGGACCTTGGGAACATGACCTGAGCCGAAGGCAGACACTTAACTGACTGAGCCACCCAGGCGTCCCTATAATGAACATTCTTGCCCAAGATTTTGGAAGACATGATTTCAGTTTTCCTAAACAAATACTAAGGAGTGAAGTTTCTCCCTGGAAGTTGAATTTTTGTCACAGATTAGCTGTATGTTTGGCTCAATATAAAACAGACAGACTGTTCTTTAAACAGTTTTCTTTCTCCCCTAGGAATTTAGGAGAAAGTCCTCACCAACCCTGGGTATTGCCAGTCTTTTAAATTGTTGTCATTTCAGTGGCTATAAAATGGTTCCCCTTTGTGGTTTTACTCTGCCTTTCCTTGATGATGTCTGGTAGGACTTAATAATCATTCCTATGCCTTCTTTTGGGAAGTGATTTTTCAAGACCTTTGACCATTTTTTTAAATTGGGTTTTCTTTTTATTGAACTGTAGGAGTTATTTATGTATTTCCCAATACAGTCAATTCTTTTGTCATATAAATGTGTATTGCAAATATTTTCTCCCAGTCTGTGGCATGACAATTCATTTCCCTAAAGTATTTTAATTACCATAAGTTTTTAATTTTGATGAAGTCCAATTATTATGGACTGCATGTTTGTGTCTCCCCAAAATTGGTATGTTGAAACCTTAAACCCTGATGTGATAGGATATGGAGGTAGGGCCTTTAGGAGGTAACCAAGCCATGAGGTCAAGCCCTCATAATGTGATTAGGAACTCTTAGAAGAAGAAAGCTCCCTCCAAACTCGTGTGTGTGTGTGTGTGTGTGTGTGTGTGTGTGTGTGTGTGTGTGTCTTTCTCTCCCACATGAAGGAATGAAAGGCAGCTCTCTGCCAACTCAGCAGCGGGTCCTGACCAGACAGGTACCAGATCCGCCAGCACCTTGATCTTGGACTTCCTCGGCTTTAAAATTGTGAGAAATAAGTGTTTATGGTTTAAGTCACCCAGTCTATGATATTTTTATTATAGTAACTGAAATTTTTATAATTAATACAATTAATACAAATTAATACTATTTGTATTCTATGAAATCGATGCCTACCCCATGCTGTGAAAATATTACCATATTACCTTCTTGAATTAATTTTTCTATCTTGTGTGAGGTGGGAGCAGGTTCGTTTTTCCCACATATGCATGCCCAGCTGTTTCAGCATCATCTATTGGGAAGACTGGCTTTTCGCTTTTTGCTAAAATAATTGATTCTATGTCTATCTTTGGACTTTATTCCATTAGATGAAGCTATTTTTCTACCTGTGTTATGACACTGCCTAGATTACTGTAGTTTACATTATATTGTATTGAATTTACATATATTGTAAATTCCTTGATTCTGTTTTTCGTTTTTCAAAGTGGTTATTAACTTTTCTAAACTGTGGTTTAGAAATTGTGTTTCTGGGTAAATCTTAGAGTAAATGTCTCAGTTTCTAAAAATGCACCTGCTCTAATTTATATTACAATGACCTTAAATCTGTAATTAATCTGAGGAGAATGGACACTGTATCAAATATTGAATTATACAATACATAACCATAGTATACCTTACCATTTAGTTGTATATTTTTTCTCAGTAATATTTTGTAGTTTTCAGTATGGAGGTCTTATATATTTTACACATTAAATATATTCAAATTTATTTTATAATTTTTGATGTTATTATAAATAGTATTTTTATTTCATTTATAAATGTTTCCTGCTAGTATAGAAAAATAGTTCTTATCTATATATTGACTTAATTTACATGTTGACTTAAGTGACTTATAATTTTATTCATACATTGACATTGTACTGATTATCATGCTTCTTCCTTCTAGTACTTCTTTGATAGATGCTTTAGGCTTTTCTACATAAACAGTCATGTTGTCTGAAAATAAAGACAGGTAACTTCTCCCCTTCTCATCTCTGAGCTTTCATTTCTTTTTCTTGGTTTATTTCATTGGCTAAGACCTCTATGAAAATGTTGAAAAAAAGTGGAAAGAAAATATTCTTACCTTGTTCACAATCTAATGGGAAAATGTTCAATATTTCACTGCTAGGTATGATGTCAACTAAAGATTTATCCCCATGCCTTATACAGTAAGGTGTGTCCTGAAACGAATGGTTTAAACAGCTATAGTGATGTGGATTTGTCGCAGCATGATGCCCTTTTTTCAAGGTTTAGATATCCACTTTCTGTTGCTCTCCACACATTTTCACATACATATTATAATTAATCTCATCAAGAAGATTAGTCCAATGGAAGCTGCTCCCGCATTAATGAAACTTCCTTAAATCTGTAATTTCAATTATTATATTCTAAATTCCTTAATAGAAGTTTTCTTCATTAGCTTTTTCTAAACCTATTAGATTTTTTCCCTCTGTTCCTTACTCATTTGTCATTTCCTCTCTTATTTTTAAAAGATGTGTTAAGTACATTTTGTATCTGATTACTCCAATAATGAAGCACTTATTTGCCTGCCAAATAATGCTCATGGTACCTTTTTTCCCCCCTCCTATATATTTTTTGTCTTATGTTTTTAAATGTGAGCTCATGTTCTCTGGAACTTTAACCCTGGGAGTTCTTCGTATCCTGAGTTAAGAGTACTTTCATCCAGACAGATATACATTGATTCTCGAAAAGTTGGGCATCCTACCAACATGAACCCATTCTCAAATCCTTGCATGGGGTTTTCCATCTTAGAAGACTAAGCACCCAACCTCCATGAAGACGAGCCTATGGCCAAGAATTCTTAAAGGAGACTCTTTTGCTTCTCTACCAAGAGCCCAATAATGAGAAAAGCATGTTTTCTTGCAGGTACTCTGTCTTTATAAATTAGATCTTTTTTCTTGCTTTCCATTTTTCCGACAGTGTAATCTGTATGATTCCTGGTTTTGGGAAATGTTCTCTGATTCAACTTCCCACACTGCCCAGGTCCAAAACTTGGTCCGCTGTTCTTACAAGGTGCAGCTACTAAAATCAGACCCCTGGGCCATCTCAGATCGCTGGGTGCCCACAAGACCGCAGCTTCATGTCTGAGTTCTAAGCTATACTCCTGTCCAAGCGTGGTTCCCAACCTCAGGGGAACCCCAGTGCTGTCTTACGAAGTCAGCCACGTAATACTGCTTTTCATGTTTCATTCAGTATTTTTAGACATTTAGTAGTGAGAGGATTTCAGCCTATCTAGTTTGACATATAGCTAGAAATGGAAATATTCAACATTTACGTTTTAATCTCTAAAGGCTTTATTGTCATTCTTCGTTTAGCTAGTTGGCAAATGAGTCAGCTGGATGGATAACACCGGCTGACAGGAGAGATATTTATGGACCCCCCATGGCTATGTATAATAAATATGCTATCCAATTTTTAAAAAACAGCTCTGAAAAAAAAAAAAAGAAATGAATCTAATGGCTAGTCTGCCTCCCTGGTGATGGCTTTGGTTCTAGAATATTCCGAAGCTATCCGTAAATAGCTGCAAGAGGCACAGGCAGTGAAGGCAGTGTGAAGAAGAGGGACGACTGAGGCCTGTGTTAGTGCCTCCCCAGTTCGCAAAGCTGCCTTTCACAGACAAAACAAAGCTTGAATGGATCAAAATGTTTCTTGGAAGTTCACCAGATTACACATGAAAGGACTTATTTTACTCCTTTCTGTGGAGAGAAATCGCTTAGCAATTACACATAATGAGTTTAATTCCTAAGCTACATTACCCAGTCTAATGTGTGCATGATAAAGCCTATCGCTATTGTTAACCGCATTCCTTGCAAAATGCTTAGCGCAGGTCTTGACACGTAACATACTACACGACTTACGAGGTGACAGCTAGTGTTATTTCCGTATGAAAGTCCTGATGTGAGGAACTTTTAATCTCCTTGTAAATGTTACATTCAGAGACGGTTTCGTGTCCTTGACATACTGACGAGACAAACTCAGGAAAACTCAGCGTGAGCTCCCGTCTGCGTGGGTTCCCTCCTGACAGCCAAAGTGCCTGGGCTTCTCCCCTCATGGCTGCCCAGTTTCCCCTAGATTCACCCTGGAAGCAGTCTGTGTGACTGCCAGGGGATGCGTGTTGGGCTTCAGAGGACTACAAAGTTGGGAAACACAGAAAGTGTCTGTCCTCAAGGAGCCTCTGGTCTAGTGTTGTGATTCGCAGCCCTGGATTCTCACCTAGAAAGATTTAAAAAAAAAAAGCGTACTAACATTCCTAAGTGTATCTTTCCTCCCTACACAGACAGTGGCTATCTTGGGACAGGAGACACACTATCACCTTCTTTCCTCATTCCTTAGATCCAGTCCCTCTATGTAGTAAGAATGTATTAAAATCTCTTTAAATATATTCTACAAAAATATTAACCAAATCCAATGTTAAAGGCATTCTATTACATGCATCCTTACAAGCAGTCACAAATACGGCTGAAATAGTAAATTCCTAGGCCAAAAAGAATGTGCTTGTAACACTTCCCCCCGGATTAAGGTGCCAATGTCCCAGGCCATACGCCCTCCCCATGATGAAAATAACAGGTGTCCCAAAATTAGAAGTAACTTGCAACCGTGACACGACTTCAGTATTTAGAAATGTCTCTTATGACACTCTACGTGACAGGACTTGGCTTACCAACTTCAGATAACCCTCAGCATCTAGAATTAGGTTTTCTGGCTTCAGGTCTCTGTAGATGATACCTAGTCGGTGCAGGTAGTCAAACGCTTCCGTCACGCAAGCGACGCAGAACTTGGAGGTGGCTTCATCGAAGCTGCCCCTACAACGAGATCGTTTTCCCTCTTAATACTCTGGACACACATATCCGTGGTCTACTCCAGGTGTCAGTTCTCGCATTGGTAATTTACACCACGTAAGCGTTTTAGGGTACCAACACTAAGAAGGACTCCGTGCCACCCAGGAACAAGCCTGATGACGGTAAAGAGATTTAGGGGACGCTTGAGGCGAACGCAAAGTACCTCACTACAGTTAAAACGTCCCCATCCCAACAACTGTTTCTCGTCATCATGTATGGGTACGTAAAATACAACCATAAGAAAACAAGACTTTTTAAGATATTTGTGGCAAACTCTAGAGAAAACGCAGCTATTTTAACGGAGAGCTTAAAGCAGACTTCTGTAATTTATTGCTTGACTCAACAATGACTCAAGTGATCGTTTTCATTTCCTGTTGGTATAGCATGTAACAAGAACCCATGCAGAAATGGGGTCATAACTCTTTCCTGTTCGGTGCACCTTGATATTAGACTGGCCCTGTGTCAGCACCGCATGTGCGTTTCCATACTGCAGCATTAAAACACGGTGGTGATTTGTGGCAGGGAGTTGTGGAAGGGTATGGCTTTGGGGTGAGTTTCTACTGGCTTTGACTCCTGCTTCTTCCATCACTGTGTCCTCAGCCAAGTGGTGTGGCTGTTCTGAGCCGCAGATCCCTGTCTGTAAAATGGGTTTACTACTTCCTGAACAGTGTTGTTTCGAGAGTGAGACACAGTGCCCAACAGACAGTACCGACTCCCATTCCTACACAGACCCACCTGCTGAAGCAAAGGTGGAGGGAGCAAATGTTTCTGTAGGTTCCACGCGAGTCTCTGCGCCCTGCCTGGTCTCCCCCACCCAGATCACCCAACAGCACATTTCTAACACAACACATCCATCTCTTCTCAGATGCTCAGAGGTCTCCCCTTCCCTAGGTCTGGGATTCTCCACCATGGATGCACATTAGAACTGTTGGGGAGGTCATTCACTAGACCCCATCCAAGGTGAACCAAATCATAATTCTGGATCAGGGCTCGGCACTGTTACTTTGCAGAGCTCTCCACATGATTGTGATGAGAAGCCAAGGTTGAGACACCCAGACCCAGGTGACACTCTCCAAATATTTGGCCTGGCATTAACCTCCATAACCTCGTGCAAACCCACCTTGCCACCCCCTCTTTTGCTGACCTTGTCTTCTACTCAAATTCTGCTGTGAAACACCTCCAAGGACACATAATCCTATCTCAACTTTCCTGTAGCGTGTTACATCCGTTTCCCTTTCTCTCTGCCTTTCCAAAGTACTGGTCATCTCTAGAAGTTAGGTCCAGTCTTCCCTCTTTCATCACATTTTTATGTCTCCTCTCCTCCGAACTCACCATCTGCAACTCTCACTTGGCATTTAGTTACAAATCAGCAACTTCTCTGTCATATTTAGCTCACACACCTAATAACGCAATGTTTTAAAACTTACCTCCCCAAATAAGATCTAAACTCACTGGGGGAAAATTTATACCTCTTACCCTTTTGGTTAGGGAAGTTCACCCCCTCTGGAAAGCTCCCACACTGTCTACCAGGGAGGCCTGCACGCCGCTGGCGCTCAGTAAACACGGGAGGCTGCAATTCTGCAGAAACCGGCCCTTCTGTAAACCTGAATCTTTGCAGCATGCTCCCTGCCTCGCCACGCCCCGCCCCTTCTTCATCTCCCCCGCAGAGATTCCGGGTTTCTAGCGACCCTGCCTCACATTAACCACAGGACTGTGGAGCATTCACTGTCTTTTGAGGGCTACAATTCTTTGACCCCGAATATGGAAATGACGGATGACCTTTTACGGTGTCTATTGCATGGCTCCAACGTTAGAGAAGAAATACCACCATTGCTCTGTTATCAGATGATAATATTTTCTTAGGACAACTTCTTAATGACTTTCTTTATGTCTCTTTAAAGGATCGTGAATAAAGCACCCTTGAGACCAAATGTGAGAACACGGCCTGATGTTTATGCTTTTCAATTACCTGTCCCTTAATATACTCCACAGCTCCCCACCTAAGCAGGCCTCCAGAAGCATGTATACATACTTAGTGTCCTTGAAAGTGCGATACAATCTGCGAAGACACATAAAAACATGGTTGTTATTAAAAATCTCGTTTCAAAAGCTTTTTGAAGTTGCTTAATAACATCATCGGTATCACTTGGGACACGCGTGCTCCTCTCGTTCCGGATACCCTCCAGCCACACGGGACCCCTCACCGAGTGCTCGTCCTGCCTGGCTTCTGCACACGGGAGCCCCTTCCCTTACTGGCCTCCCTCTACACACACACTGACCTTCTTCATCTCAGTTTTGCTGTAACAGTGTTATCCATTCCTCAAGACCAAGCCCAGGAGCCCGCTAAGGCAGCTTATCTGCCTCCTTCCCCAACACAGCTTCTCTTCCCTCCGCAAGCCTGGAGACCTCTGCCTGCATCTCCTTTACGATGCATCTCCTTTATGAGCTCCCTCCACACCCATGTCTTATATCCTCTGGTTGGTCTCAAAAATAAGACTGTGAGACAGAGACCTATAAGCAGTGAGTTCAGTAGGGAGTATATCTGGGAACAACCCCCGTCCCCTAGGGGAGGAGTAAGGCACAGACATGCTTGGGTGGCAGGAGAGTTCATCTCTGACGGAGTCTCTAGTTTCCATGAAAGCCTCAGCCTCAAGGAGTTCTGCCCTCATGGGATGTGGGCTGCACCTGGAAGCAGAGTATGATCCTGGGCAAGGGGCTCTGATCACCTGACAGCAATGACCAGGAAAGGACTGAGCTAGAGTGCTCAGCTGGCGCACTCCCAGAAGCTACGGGAATGACAGCTGCAGTCCCGAGGTGGACCTGGGCCGGGTACCATATTGCGACACTGGGTGCCAGCTGAGCACCCAGACCGTGTCACGACAGCAGAAGCAACCTAGCAGAGCAGCTCAGAGTGGGCTCTGAGTCCAGACTACGCAGGCTTGATCTCCCACCAGCCGCTCACGAGCGGGCAGCCCAGCTGCTAACTACTGCTCTCGAGCTCAATCATCACATTTACCTCGCTGTTACCTCATAAAGGTCAGACGAGTACATGCATTTCCTGGATTCTATGTTAGTGACATATTAATTCAATATATGTTGCATGTCTGCATATATAGTAGGTAGAATAAATATAACATATTTAAATATATATTAAACATACTACATATGATATACCACATATACATTGTGCTTACAGCGGTGTCTGGCACACGTTAATTTCTCAATAAATGTTGTCATTAATATTTATTATTATATTATCATTTCCTTCTATGCCAGGCACTTTGCAGAGAGCTGGAAATGAGAATAGGAATAAAAGCTAAGCCATGTCCTGAAGCTGCTTATGATAGTTTGTTAAGGAATTATTGATGAAAGGGGGGGCATTCTGGGAACGCATTAATATAAAAATAATTAGATAACCCAGCATTACCTGGGTTCAGAACCTGGGTTCTTTTAATGTTGAAAAAAAGTGGGTGTGGGACTATGGATAGGCAGGAAGGTTCTCTCAAGGCATTTGATCCAAAACAAATTCTATCCGCCATAAGGGCACTCTGCCTCGCCTGGAAACCACCGAAACTATATTCTAGGGCCATGACCTACATGAAAATACAGGTCTCCACTGGCCTACAGCACAGACTCATGAATTCACAAGGAAGGAGAACTGTGGCCTCGAACAACCGAATTCTCGTCCCGACTCTGGGGAAGGAGGAGTAGTGACTATGGGGAGCCGGATCTCCCAGCATCTCAGCTCTGCTAGGATCATGCCCCGGGGCCCCCGGAAGACTACATGAACCCAAAGGCCTCTTCTTGCAGAAATTTAACAGCAGTGTGTCCCCTGACAGTTTCAAATGAATTCTTTTCTTCCCAAATTCTGCAGTAGGTATGGATTAAATATCAGTTCAAGTTATTCCACAACAATTTCATATTCTCTCCCACACACACCCCTACACACACACACACAGAGTCTCCTCAGATATTCTCAAGGATAAAAAACCTGCACTCTTGACTCCAGACTTCAGACTTCTCACATTTTATGAACTGTTGCTGTGACAGGGGTGGAGAACTGAGTGGGGCCTCTTTTACTGTTCTGTGCTCTCGCATGGAAACATTTGAAAGGGTCTACAGTCCTAAATTGTGGAGCCAGATGCTCACTTACTTCACGATGAAGGGAGAACACAGCTCTTCCAGAATCCTCTTCTCTGAGTAGACGTGCTCCTGCTGCTTCGTATCCACTATGTGCTTCTTCCGTATGCACTTCATAGCAAAAGCCACATTCTCATTCTTCACCTTAACCTGCGCCAGAAGAGAAAATCCCTCAAAATTAACTTATTAAAAAGATTCACAATATCTATATAAAACATGTTAACCAATGAGGAGTTGAACTTCTTTCACATTAAACAGTATGTACCCTTTTAACCACCTTTTATCCCTCTGGGAACTAACTTTTATTCAAGTGTACATCCTTCCCTTGCACTGCAATTTCCAAAAAAGTTCACATATCTGGAACACGGTCTTAACACGTTTGCATTAGAACAAGAAAAACAAACTCGAGTTAGGTTTAATGTTTAGAAATCTATTCACTTTTGAGTGTGTGATATGAAGAACTTTGACCAGAATTGCCAAAAATGGTTCTTTCCTAATATGCACTTCTTTGATTTTCAAAACAAAACATATTAAATCAAAATCCATAGCTGTACTATCCAATATGACAGCAACTAGTCACATGAGGTTATTTAATTTTAAGTTAATTAAGATAAGAAATTCAGCTGCATTAGTCACGTTTCAAAAGCTCGCCAGCCACATCTAGTCCTAGCTACCCTTCTGGATAGCAGACGGTTAAGACACTTCCCGAGGTACAGAAAGTTCTTTTGGAACCTGTTGCTTTAGATGGACAAATAAAATTTTCCCTTGAAAGGAAATAAAACATTTTAATAAATACGTACTCAGATAGGCTTACAACTCCATAAGCACACGATATGTGGCAAGAAATGAACCTGTAGATTTGGCCGCGCCCCACATTTTCTCACATTTGCCATTAGTACTATGCAGGATTTTAAAATTAAGGTGGAATTATTGTTTCAATTATTATCTAACTATACAAAAAAACCCCACATCTCAGCATTGCTAATTCAATCCTTTTGCCAGGATGTTTGGTGAAAAATACCACTGCAGATGCGTATCGCCCTTGTCTCTCTATATGGCATAAAAACGGTGATAAATACTCTTTGGCTTATGAAGAAATTGTTTCTTCCCCTCCCCCTCACCCCTCAGAGAGGTGTCTTGACCGGGGTGAAGTGTGTTATCCAGAGTCTCCTGGTGGCACTTCCGATCTGCTCATGTCCGAGGCCATCCAGCAGATGAAGGTGTCCACGCACTTCCCTGAGGTTAAGGTACAGTGAATCATTAAAAATCTGCTGGGTGAAGAAGGGCTTGGGAACAGCCAAAGGTTCAGAGTCACCTGTCCCCAGTAAGGCCACAGATCTCCATCCCCCCATTTCCCCGGAGCACTGGATCTGACAGGACCGCTCTGTTACTCCTTGGAAGCTAGTGGTAAAGCTCCGAGAGGTGGTGATGTGGAAAAGACAGCCGAAATCAGGCCGTAAGTTCCCAGCTGTCCTGATCAACACTACAGAAGGCTGCTCTTCAAATATTCCCTTATAGTCATCTTCTCTTTTTTTCCAGATAGAAAATCTTGAGCAACCCAAGACAGGATAATGGCAGCCAAATACAGACATGGCAGTGGAGTTGTGTCAACTATAATAAGACTTTATTTCTAGGACACTTCCACTGGACACACTCTTTTCTTTAGTAATAGTTCACGTGCCATGAGTGTATGTGTGCACACATTTTCCTATTAAAAAACACAGTTTTGATGAGTTAGAGTCTCTGGGAACGCTTACTTGGTACATCTCCGATAATTATAACCAAGACGAGAATTCACAAAAGGATGTGACACAGAAGCTGAAATAGCAGCTCCGTTACTACAAGTGACTTATTAGCACAGACCTGCTACCATACAACACGCACAGTGAGAAACGTGCTTTCTTAACTTCAGCTCAAAGCAACACTTAAGATAGCAATAACAATTCACATGTTCGTCCAAGATACACTGGAATATAAAACAAGAAAAAGTCAAAAGGCTTCTCTCAGATGCTTGAAACGTAAACCCCTTACAAGCTCAACTCTTCCGAACCCACCAACGCCCAGTGTTGCAATAATCTCAAGGTTCTGGAATGGGGATGAGGAGGAGAATCTGGCCACCTTCTCCTTCAGCTGAATCATCTCCAGCGAGAGTGCTTTGGACAGCTTCCAGTTAGACATGGATCTCCTGTGTGAGAAAAGTGAAACTTGGCACACACCCCCTTAGTCAAGCCAGGGTCATAGCACACATAAATTCCACTCACGCAACAGTCTTAGTTCTGCCAGGGTTGCTGCCCATAGTGGCTACAAAGGCTACCTCAACTTTTACACAATCAGCTTCATTTACACCTGGGAAGGAGGACAGTAGGATATACGGACAAAGAAACTGACGCACACAATGATGAATAAATATCAAACCGAATCAATGCGAGTTAAGAAGAGCTGGACTGTGTAGTGTTTAAAGCATACTTCAGTAAATATGCGTGTGGTTTTTTTTTAGGAGTCAATGAGAGGAAGTAAAACCGGTGAGTCACTCCCTTGGCTGTACATACAGGGGAATGCCACACTGAGAATCTTTGCTGTGTTTTGCTATTTTTGTCAGATTTTGAAGTTTTCCATGGCTGAACCAGAATGACTGCTTAGTGAAACATGAAAGAGATATTTCTTACTTTATGTCTAAATATCATTGTTTGAAAATACTCATTTTTCTCTTTTAATTAAGGTAGACTGCTCTGACTTCTGTATTATACATATATTCATGAAGTGTTCTTACTACAAAAGGCCTTTAAAGACATAAAAACTGCAAATATATCCCTTGCATAAAAAGACAAAAGCAAAAAACTTAGGAGGTCCTCACTGAATGTTCTAATTTAACTCAAATGTCAGTTTTCTAGAACTTTCGACTCCAGCTTCGTTAGTCCTACCTGGTGAATATATGCTGAAGTATTTACTCTACAAACTGTAAAGGATTTTCAAATATTTTTAATTTTACAACATAGTTTTTCTATGAAGCACAAAATTATTCATAAATATCACTATATTTAGCCCAACCCAACTCCTTCCTACATACACGCATGCGCGCGCGCGCACACACACACCACACACACACACACACACACACACACAGAGCCCTGGGTAATAGCTCCCTTATATTCTGAAATACTTCTGCCTCTCCCCATAGCTCTTTACCCGGAATCAGGATGAATGGGTTACTCTACTGCCTTGGCATTCTTGCTTGATCTCCATGGGCAAGACACGCTTCATTTCTGAATAACGTCCTTTTGACATTGAAAGACAATGTCAAGCATCCCCTTCCCAAGGCCCCCTCTCAGGAAATGTCTCCTTCACATTACTACTTGTCAACCCAAAATAAGAAGCTGACCACTTACAGACTAAAATCACATCCATACTACTGGTAAGTGGCATCTCTTTGTGGAAGAACAATTTAAAAGAACTGCCCCCGGTTTCTAGTGGCAGCACAGCAGCAGTCATCACCGAGCGAACCACACACACTTGCCAGAAGGCATGCGCCACGGAGAAGACCCCGCCGCACTTACTTCGCATGTCTTTTCTCATCATCCCGGGTCAGGTTGGCCACATACCCTTCAAGGTATTTCTGGAGTTCCTCAAAAGTCCCGACTGTCTGGTTGAATGTTCTAAGTGAATAAGATACATAGGTGCCTTTGTAATTCGACATTTCCTCCAGCTCTTAGAAAACTTAGTTACGATTATTGATGACTTTGTAAATGGTTTTTCAATAATTTAGGTGACGGTAAAGTTGTCACAAAGTGTAGAATAGCTATTAGAAGTTATAGAATGAATTCTTCACGTTTATGAAAACAAAGGAGAGAAAACCTTTCAATAGTTTTCTGCCTTGTGGTTCAGGTTTACTAACAATTTTTTCAAGAAGATATTGGGAAGAAAATAGTCTGTATAATCTCTTTGCTGAATCAACAGGTTAGACGAGTTGCAGATTTTCCTAACTTTGCTTCATCCAATTAAGCTATTTATTTTAAAAACCGAGGATAAAATGTTTCTTTTCTTTTCCCTTGACAATGCCCCTCACTTTACATTGCTTCATGATTAAATCCATTTTTTTTTTTTTTTTACTTTATCGCAGTAGTTCCCAGAGGCTCAGCCAACGTCTTCCCTTGACCAATCTCGCCCACCACAAATCAGACGTGGGTGGTGCCATCTAACTTTATTTACGACATTGTTTGCGGGAATTCTCATACACAGCCTTGCCCACAAGAAATAAGGTATCCCCTTCCTCACCAAGTGAGATACATTTTCTTGATTTCTTTTCAATGCTTCCCACCCCTACACTGGACAATCTACCTCAATTTGTGATTGTTAGGGTAGTTTTCTTCCCCACTGCAAACCAGTATCCTTCTAGAAACTGTGCTTTAATCTTCTGGCTGAATCGGAAGCACCTGAGCAGAGCAAAATGAAAGGGTTGAAAACTGACCCCCAGACACCTCCGGCTAATAAACCAGACCGTCTCATTACTGTACAGTTGCCGTCTGCTGCCCGCCTAGCCCCAAAGATCTCTACCCACACTGAACTGGCCACCGATCTGCATTCCCACTATTATGCAGATCTTACATACTATGCTGGGTATTTAACATTTTCCACTTCAAATCCACCCTCCGCTCTTTTCTACCCTCCTCTGTCGACCGTCCTTCATCGACTATAGAACAGTGAGAAACAAGAGTATTGCCATGAAATTTCAAATTTCCAATGGCTGAACTTTTCAAGTGAAAGGAAAATACTTGTTGTACTTCACTTCATTCTTACTTATTCTATATGTCACCACTATTGGCCTGCTGTTAAACTAATTCGAGCACTGTGAACAAATCTCATGTTTAAGATGTAGGCTCACACTGCTGTCCCCGTTCCCTAGAAATTCTTCGCAAACTCGAGTTAGTGCAGATTTAAACAGCTACAACATTCTAGCTGGAACAAACAGCCTGTAACCACTCTGGTGGTGTAACATGAGGTGGAGTCACTTCCTCTGAGACACAGCCCAACAACCAGTGACAGAGATGTCACAAATCACACTTCCCACGCACGTAGAGCTATTGCCATTTTGCACATTTTATTACATTCTAAAAATAGGGAAACTTTAACTCTCCTCCTTGCAGTGGATTCATTCTACGCATTTTGAAAACAATGCATTAAGAAGGAGGAAACAAAGTCGCCCCGCTTCACTGCGAGGACGGTGCCCTTTATGCAGCCAACACGTGGAGCCCTTCCCATCTGCCGAGAACTATGACGCTTGCCGGCCCTGCAGCAGCAGTGAACAAGGAAAGGTTTCTGCCCCCGTGAAGCTTACAGAAGAGAGGGAAGACAGATGTTACATGAAGCAATTAAGTAAAATGTAAATAATGATATGAGGCTACGTAGGGTAAAGTGGGAGAATTATCATGGGGCCTTTACCTAGTCTATTAGTCATTACTGTGATGATGATATAATTTATCAAACTCAGTACTTTTCAGAGTGAAAGTTGGCGTCAATAACAAACATGCTGGGACAACCAGAACCATCCAGAAATCCAGGATGTCGGTCAGCCTGGTCACACCAGACATCCAGCTCCTCCCACCCACAGAATAAATTCATGTAATGTTCTGAGTCTCACTGAGCCTAACACAATACTCCATACACTACCAAATCTCATCTGTACACATGTAAATGGAACATTTTAAAATTATAAACTTCCAAATAATATATAAACTCTACAAAATCCCTGCATCCTTTTCAGGGATGATGAGTGCATGAGGTATTGTATAAATACTTGCTTGTGTGATTACAATGAAGAAAAACGAAAGGAGTTCTTCCTTTGTGTCATATTTTTAGTCCCAGCATTTCAGAGCAATTGATAAGATTCTACCGAATAGCTAATGCTATTCAGGGCATGCATTTATTTTTAATGAACTCATACACAAAACAATGCACTATCAGGACAACACTGTACCAATATATTTTCCCTTTGTGAGCTGGCATCCAAAGATTACCTTTATCTGAACATATTTTGCGCTTTCTAGACCCCATGCCTTTGTTTTTAAGTTCTACTTCACCTCAAGTGACTTCTACATTTCCTATTGGCCTGAAGAATTCCTATTAATTTTTAAGCCCCATTTCCACACCTAAAAAATAATAAAACCTTGCCCACTTTATTGCATTGTAATTGCTCCTCTTTCTGAACACACGCTATGGGAGCCAAATGGCACAGTGGAAAGAACTCTGAAAGAAATCTGGGCTCCGTCACAGATGGCTTTGCTGGGACAACTCTACTGATCTGGGACTTCCATTTCTTATCCAGAGAGAGACTGAAATAATTTGAAGTGATATGAAGAATTAGTGTTCTGTGTGTGGTGGTGGATGCTAACTAGACTGATCGCCATGGTCCTTTTGTGATATATACGTATTTCAAACTGTTATGTTGGATACCTGAAAGCAATTTAAAGTTATGTGTCAATCATCTCTTAATCACAAATAATAAATAAAAAAGAATTAGTGCTGTTTGTGTATGTTAATGTTATTGTGGTCATGTATTTTAAGTAACATTTACCTTCTAGAGATGCTACTAAAATTTATAGATGAAATAATTTTATGTTTGGAATTTGCTTGAAAGTAGTATGGAGAAGATGGGGAGGGGGTGGCAAAGTGATAGAGAAAAGGCATTAATTGATCATTTTTGAACTTGCATTATGGGGTCCACAATAGTATCCTGTCTGCTCTTTACTATATGTGAAATTTTCCAAAATAAAAGACTTTTGAATGTTCTACAGTTCTTTCCAATTCTAAATCTCTATAATTTGATGTTCAGTATGAATGTTATGTTCAACTGCAACCCACTACATACTCCTTTGTGATATTTCTTGTCATTTTACTGTTTTTTGTTAATATTTCATGTGCGTATGTCCTATGTTTTTGACTACACTAAGACATTTCCTAGACAATGGCCTAGATTTGTATATTTGAATTTCCTTTATTATAGAAAATCAATAAACAAACAACTCACTAATGAGAGACCCAAGGGGCCAGATTCAATACAATTTGAAATGAGTGAAGGATATAAGGTAAGACTTTTTCCCGAAAGCAATCTGAGACACTTAGAGATTAATATTAACACACATCACTTGCAAATTATTACAAATGTTAAATCAAACCTTCTCTGGAAATACATATAACTAAGGGGTATTGTATATTATGTCCAAGAGAGATAGGATTTATTCAAAGTTTTTTGACTGCTTAGAGCATTTTAGAAATAAATTAGGACTTGTGCACTATATTGTGCAGGGGAGAAAAATCCAAAAGGGCACTAATAAGCTTATTTCTCTGGAAGATGAAGAATTTAAATCAGTCTATCGCTGATGTTTATGTACAAACTTTGCACACAAAATATTTAGCCCGCCAGCATCTGCCGCTGCCACAGACAGATTCAGACCCGAAGGCCCAGTTCCTCCCCATGAATTTTAATGGAATGTACTCGCCCAGCATTTCTGAGTGGTGATGAATGAGAAGACAGATGGGCCCTTGGAGTAACAGAAGGCCAAGTCTTCAAAGGTGGCCGCAGCCTGCCTTCTCTGACATCGGCATACTCACTCTCGATCTATAACCAGGCACGCCACATCGTTTTCTTCAGCAATAATGTTAGCTGATCTGACGTCCTCACTGCAGACAAAAACAGGGAAGAAATTAAACATCCATTTTTATTAAAGAATCTGCTTTTTTATGAAACACCATCACTTAAACCTTCCAAAGGCTGCTGTTTTTAAAATATCATAACTTACACTCCATCCCTTTCCAAAAAGGAATTTGAAATGCACCCCAATGAAGGTTATGTATGCAAGGAATTCAGACAAGAAGACAATTGCGCCAGGAGCAGAGAGAGAGATCAGTGACTGTGACTTTCTATAGAATCGCCTTCTGGGCTTTGTGTCAGCCAGAATAAAATACCTCTCCAGTGACCAAGTGGGAACTGCTCATTAATAAGCAGCCCAAACTGAAATTAAATCAAAAAAATTCACTGGGAAAACATTCAAGTAGTTAACATAGAATAAAAAAAAATCAAGAATAAAGCCCAAAGAAAGTGTTTTGAGTACCATATCATCCAACGATTTAAATAAACACTAAAATACTTCAATTTCATAAAGTCTAAGATGTATGTTTTCCACTAAAATCTCTGAAATCAGAACATGCCCTACAACTGGTGATGAATCACAGTGTAATTAATAGCACCGTCTTTCTTCCTCAAGGGCACATAATGTAACTGGTGCATCTCACCGCTGCGAACCTAGATACAATGAATTATGGCGTGCAGTCTAATGATGGCAAATTTAACGACCAAAGAATACCAATGGGCCAAGCATCGGGTAAAGTATTTATTTGTACTAGTTTCCTCCCTCCATTAGTTACAAACTAAAGACACTGAAAAATAGTACACCCAGATGGTACCCAGTGCTGCGAGATTCATTTAAGGTAACCGGGAGGAACAAGTATGTCGAGACAGCTCTAAGCAACTTCATCAAAAATGGTATCACACAAAGTATATATAGTTCCTTCTTCTTCCCTCAGTGTTGAGATAGGAAAAACTTGGTGACCCATTTCTTATTGCAAAGAAGTCCCTTATCCACACAGCTAACATTCAGAGTCCTTCCGATATAGCCCAGAGCGCCTCCCAAATTTGCAGGGTCCCTGCTGGAAGACATTAACGAAAACATTACAGCTTGATGAGCTTTTGAGCTGGGAGCTGGGTAGTCTATACTCAACCTGTGTGTGTGTAGACATTGATATCTATATGTACGGATGGATGTCCACACACCCATGCATGCACGCAGACCTATGATCTTAGATGTGAGCCAATCTGATTTGCGAGTTCAGAAAAACAAAGGTGTGGCATCCTTTGCACTTGTCAACGTCAAGACTGGGAATATTCTCTGGCAAACACTTCATAAATATTAGGGTTTATAAGTACACGTACGTTCTTTTATAATAACTGTGTAAGTGCCGTGAGTCCATCTTTGCACATAAAATGTTGTAAGAACTCCTGGGACTAATTAATGTCAAGTCCCAGAAATACATAGACCGTAAGGAATACCGAGTCCCCATCAGTGGCCCTAAAACACGGTAGCAAATAAGTGCACAAAAATCTACAAGTATTTGTATCCAGGGCTCCTCTTCCTTCATTCTAGCTTTGTGCTTCCAAACGCCTGGGGAGTTGGGTATATATATTAAATATAAATTCCCATGTTTCTCATGGGAAAACACTGTGATTGGCTAGCTGTGACACAGAGCATAAATTATTTCAGATCCAGCAAAATCAGAAAGTGTATTTCCTTTCAAGAGCTATTTTGACTCTCCGGTGCATTTATAAAGTTCTCTGTACTTTCAAACTGAGTTGTTTTGTTTGCAGGTATGAGAAAAATAACCTAGTAATGTTAAGAACAAACACACTGAAGTTTTGAATAACAAATTACATAATTATATCACATGAAGCTATTCACACCGCCACAACCAAAAACATTAAAAAGGACAATTTCCCTGTTACTGAAACAATTATGAGCTAGAAAATGAGAACAGTTTAGCTTGTCTTTACATTCCATTTTTAAACTGTTTACAAAATAACCACAATCTAACTTCCTAAGTTTAGTTTTTCCTTTAAAAATAAGAACTATCTAATTTTTAAGTAATCAGATTTGTCTCCAGTAACTTATGAACACCCTTTCTTTGCTCTACACTGATTATCATCACATACAAATCAGCAGAACTGGGAATTCATGACAAAAATTAAAAAGGAAGAAAATGAACAGAAATAATACTTGTTTCTATAAGCATGGATTTGAAATAAAAACCATTTAGTAATAACAGTAAAACTTTAAGTAATGTCTTAACTAATTTCAAAATTTAAAAACATATGTAACTCCAAAAAAAGTATTGCTCGAAACTCTACACTTGATCTGACCCAAAAGGCCAAGAGACGATTCAAAACTCTAATTTCATCTTTTATAAAGTTATTTATAGTTAAGAAAATGTGGGTTTTTTTAGACTTGAGGTTGTTTTCTGAGTCCCAGGAAGCACAGTGTCTCCTGAGACATTTGATTGATCTTTATAAACATTTCTTCCATAAGTCGAATCAAGAGTAGATAAATTCATCCCTCAAAAGACCTAAGGTTCGGGTAGAAGTTCCATACACACTATTATGAGTTGTTTCTTAAAACTTGAAAAATGAGGCAATAAAAATTCTTAATATTGCTTTTGGCATAAAAATTTTAAAGCACACGAAATATGTAAAGTCATTATTTGATCATTTTTTAAGAAGGGGGAAAAGACAATATTTCAAACTTTGGAAATATAAAAACTCTTTCTCAAAGGGAAATTGTAATTCTCATGTCTTTCATCTCTTTCTCTCACACTCTTTTCAACTAAAGAGTCTAACAGAACACTGATTTTATTTTCACTAGCAAATTTAAGCCTTCCCCATTTCTTTTCTGTGCAAAATTAGTCCACTTATTTTGTGCATAACAATGAAATTTCTAGCATCCAGTTTAAATTTTTGGTTTAATCCCTGAATATTTGCTGACATTAATTTGGTAGCTCAATTTGACATCTCTAATGGAGTAGTTGCACATGTAAGGCAATCAAAGAATTATTTAAGTATGGCACAGGAATTCATGGATTTACCTGATAAGAGCTTTTTCCCCAAAGTATTCTCCTTTCTGCAGTGTTTTTATCAGTTGTGGCTGATCATGGCCCTCTGTGCTCTGGGTGACTTTTACCTAAATGATGTAAAACAATTAAAAAGAGAGAGAGAAAAAGAAAAAAAATGAGAATCTGGACACATATCCATTCAATCAGACCCTTTGGATCTATGAACCTTTGACTGAAATAAGGAACTAGACAAGCCTTTGCTTTGACTTTGTGATAGAACAGTCTTGCTACCGTCAACTCGTTTGGAGGGACTGAGAGAACCTGTGACTGACAACCAAACGACGCCCAGCCTGTAAGAGGAAGATCCTCCGTTCAAATCCTTCCTCTCAAAGTTAGAATTTTTTATGCGAATCCAGCGATTCCTTCTGAGGGATACTCAAGGAAAGTAATTTCAAACCATAAGAGACTCTTAATCTCAGGAAATAAACGGAGGGTTTCTGGGGGGTGTGGTGGGGGAGATATGGGGTGGCTGGGTTACAGATGCTGAGGAGGGTATAGGCTATGGGGAGTGCTGTGAATTGTGTAAGACTGATGAACCACAGACCTGTACCCCTGAAACGAATAATATGTTATATGTCAGTAAAAAAATAATAATAATTTCAAAAATCCGAAGACAGTGGACAAAGTAATCAAGAATAAGGCTAAGTATCAGAAGTTTTGAATCTGGTGGCCTCGACTGACTTACTGAATCCTGCGTACCCTCTAAAACTGGTTGCGAAATGTGGATCTGGAGAAGGGTCATAACGCTCATGGGAGTCTTAGTGTGATCCATTCCCACGGCAGAACCGAACAAAAACTTCAATATTCCTTGTTTGTGGCTAAAATTATGCCAAATCAACAGGATAACAAGGGTTGCTTCATGTTGATTAGAGATTCTGATTAGCATTTACGAAAGCCACAATGAATTAAAATTAAAAAAAAAACAATAAATGTTATTTGTTTATTAGTCAGAGTGCTTTCAAAGCATGGGGTCCAGGTTTGGGAGAAATGATAAAAAGTGTTTCTAAGTGTTGAAGAGTTTCTGAGGTTTGAAATTATTTTGTTAATCTTGTTTTCCTTCACTGGGTGCCCAGGTTAAGTTCAACCACAAGTCGGTCTGCAAAGGGCAGTGCCTGACTCTGATGACAAGCCCTTCCGTGGAAGAAAGGACGTCGTAAAATCCAACAGGTTACACACATGGGTGCTCAAGCTTCTCTCTACCATTCAATACTTCGCTAACGCTCTGTATCTCAGGAACACTGTAGAGAGTCAGCATGGGAACAATTGGTAACACGTTATCACTCAATATCTAAGTAAAGGAAAAGGCCTCCTGCATATACACCAGCATAAATTTTCATCGGCATCTGAACCAATGGTATATGAACTGATGTCTGGAGCCGTATCCATCTATAGCTTCACGGCTGGTCCCTGCTGTCCTCAACTGCCAAGGTCATTTTCCCCACACCTGCCGCTTGTCACATCCGTTGGATGAAAAAATTTCCAGCCCTAATCTTGGACTCTTGGGCAGATTGAGAAGGAGAGATAAAAGGGATCCTAGAAAGAAACCAGTTATTTTATGCACTATGAAACGTGGTCCAAAGAAAATCAAGTGACATGCCCAGGACCACTAAGAAGTGACCACTGAGCTAGAACCATCACAGGTCTCCTGCACCCCCGGCCGTGCTCAGACCAAACCTCACGGAACTCTCCCGAACAGAAGCTCCTTCACCTGTTCAGTGCAGAGGCTTTCCATAGCAGTAGCTCCCAGACAGATGGGGACCGACTTTTTAAATTTGCTTTAAATAAGCTTTAATTAATATTTACCTTTCCTTTCGCTAAGATGAAGAAGGTACTTCCTTCCTCGCCCTCTCTGATAATGTAGTCCCCTTTGTCATAGTATTCCTGTTGGGACGAGAGAGGAAGAAAATGTTCAGTCCAGTGGAGATACAGAGATGAAGGCATACATGAAACCGGACTCCTCGTGTCTGGCAATGAGCATTCCATGCCCGTTTCTTTTATTTGTTGTTTACTGTCACTGCAATCTTCTTGAACATTGTAGTCATAAGCTGTAGAAAAAGTAAGGAGACTTTTCCTTTATTATGTGCATTTATAGTTATCTTTTCCAGAGAAAATTCACCTAAAAGACCAACTTTCAGGCATGAAGACTAAAGAGCATGAGGAGCAATGAGAGAAAAGCAATGATCACTGGTATACAGGGACCTTCTGCATAAGTAATCTAAATTCAAGTGGTCCAGTGATCAGTCACAGTCTGAAACTGGGACTAGAGCTTAGGAAAAGATGACCGAAAACGCTGAAAATACTAGCCTCAGTAGACTGTAGGAATATCAGCCTCACTTTCTAACTCCTTGAAAAGCAAAGGCTGGGAAAATTCTACCTACAGAATAAGTAGCCCTTTAATATGGATTCTTCAAAAAATTTATCATCATAGAAGATAAACATTAGAACTTTTCACATGTAAATTCTGTTCTTCTGTGTAGGTTTATCCTCATGAAATCTCAATTTGTCACTTATTTCTTTGTTTCCCTCATATATGAGTCTGTAAGCAGAGAATTCTTGGGAAGGGAAAAGTAATTAATCCATTTGTCACTGAAAGAGCAACTCAGTCTCAGAAAACAAAAGATTTTGGGGCATCTGGGGGGGTGGCTCAGGGGGTTGAGTCTCTGCCTTCGGCTCAGGTCATGATCTCAGGGTCCTGGGATCGAGCCCCACATCAGGCTCTCTGCTCAGTGAGGAGCCTGCTTCCCCCTCTCTCTCTGCCTGCCTCTCTGCCTACTTATGATCTCTGTCTGTCAAATAAATAAATAAATCTTTAAAAAAAAAAAAGAAAGAAAACAAAAGATGGATAAAACCCTCTACCTCTACTTCATTTTAACATTGTCTCAAAGTCAGAGAACCAAAATGAATCTCTTAATTATTTATACAAATAAAAATGAGCCTGTTTAATTTCTTTAAAAAGGTGTAATTAACAACAAAATAGTTCTCTCTTATTTTTCTTTTAGATTTGAAAATAAAATCCAAACATAACTACTTCTGTGTCTGCTGTATTTCAATATTCTTTTTGGTCATTTACGCTTAAAACCTATTTACATTTTTTAAATAAATATGATTCCTAATACGAATAAACATACCCTTTATTTACAGAGCACTATGTACATTTTATAAGACAATTCAACATCTCATGGAAAGGAGCATAGCATCTTGGGGAGGAAGTACTTTGAAGCCAAACACATGTCGATTCAAATCCTAGTTCTGCTTTGAATTTCACATCCATCAACCCATAAATTCAAATAAGAATATTTACCTTCAAAGATTTAGAGAAGCACATTAGTTCTCTACTGCTGCTGTACCAAATACCCACACACTTCTTAGTGGCTTCGAACAACCCCCATTTATTATCTCACAGTTTCTGTGTGTCAAAGAGTCCAGGGTGACCTGGATTTTTCTGTCAGAGTTTCCCAAGACTGAACTCAAAGCGTCAAGCAGACTGCTTCCTTCAGGAGGTTCTGGGGGAAAAGCCACTTTCAAACTCCATCAGATTGCTGGCAGAATTCAGTTTCTAGGACAAGGCCTCATTTCCATGCTGACTGTCAGCCCCTTAGTTCTTAGAGACCCCTCTGAGGTCCTCGCCCAGAGCCCCTGTGCTTTATGACCAACAATAGCTCATCAACTCCTGCTCAGACTTGAAAGATCCCTGACTTCCAACTTCCGCTACCTCTCTCTGACTCCAGCCAGAGAAAATTCTCAGCTTTTAAGGGATCATGCAATTATATTCATCCCACCTAGATAATCCAGAATAACCTCCTTATTTTAAGGTCCTGAATCTTAATTACATCTGCCCATTCTCTTTGGCCATGTAACATAACATATTCACACATCCCAGGCATTCGGGTCTGGGACATCTAGGGGGGGAGGTCCATTCTGCCTACCACAATAAACCAATTAAAGACCATGTTTTGGTGCATTAAAAGCATCTGAAACATAGTAAATAATTAATGGTTGTCATATTGAGGAAGAAGATGTTTATGATTTGCTTAACTGTTACTTAAATTTTGGGGGCCTCAGTTTGCTTTTCTGTGGAATTAAAATGGCATGACCTGCCACACCTAGTGTTGAGACAGTATATCTAAAGCTTCTGATAGCGCATTTGATAAACACTAGGAACCGGGTGACTCTGAATTCCTAGGAAAGAGCCCGTGAGCTGGTCATCAAAGCCTTCCTCGGTATACATGGCTGCCCAGATCGACTGTACTCCCCAAGCTCCCTGTTAGCTGTCGCATGTGATTAAATTCCAGTTAAAAGAACCTGAGCTGGAGTGATGGGAGCCACTCTGGGCGAGGTCCGTGAGCTGTTTCAGGCATGTGTCTTCACTGAGAGATCTTGGGAGAGGGGTCATCTAGCCCTTAGCCTGAATGCCTGAATGGCTCCTTGTACCCTCCCTGGGCCGTTATGCAAGCAAAAGACAAACCTCCACTTTATTTGTAAAATGATATTGGAGTTTCTTATATCCCAGTTTACTTACTCCAACTCTCTATTCTCTCTCATTCTAGCTTTATCACAAACCTTCGCCACATACAAGCTCAACTGTATAGTTGAGCCTTGGTGTTTAATGAGTGACCCCACTACACAGTTCAGCATTTTCATTATGCAGCTACTGTTCAATTCCCTTTCACTGGACTGCCGGCGCCCTGTTAGATGTCCCTGTTACAGACAGTCTGCTCTGTAGTCTCTCCAATGCCCACCCCAATCTCAGGTTCCACTACCCACATGGAACAGAAAGAACATGGAAAATTTCCAAAGTGCTGGTAGGCTGTCCTTCGGCTATTATAAAGCTTTGGTGTGTGCAGATGTGCGGCTTTAATTCCTGTCAGTCAGGGAGGCTAAAAGGAAGCTTGAAAGGGAACACTGAGAAAGAGCTTTATTGTTTCTTAAGGGGCAAACTTCCTAGCGGTATTTTTCCCTAGGGATGGTTCTTTGTCACCCAAAACCATGGGAGGAAGATAAATAATACCTCCCAGTGTGTTGACAGTACCTTCACGGATCAGAAAAGGCTGTGGATGTAGGTCAGACCAAAAATATATAGTGGTAAGTACAGGCTGTGACGCCAGACTGGCCAGCGTTTGTCAACCGGGGAGCGTAGCCAGTCCAGCCAGGGTGGCCACCAAGACCAAAAAGAGAAATGCAAACAGTGTGGTTATTGTCTGGTGGTTACATAGCAAAAGGGTCCCTTATAGGACCAAACAGCCATGGACCCCATCCTCTGAAGCAATGATTTTCAGGCATTTTCACTCTGACTCAGAGCAAAAAATACATTTTCATGTACACCCAAATACACCTATGTAAGCATACACACATACAGACATTTTATAAAATTGAAGTATATTTAAATAACACTTACCCTTACTACTCTGATATTTTTTAAAATGTTCCTCCAAATTAATTTCCTGATCTACTAATGACTTGTGACCCTGAGTTTGAAAAAAATATTTTAAAAGAAGTTGTAATGGAAACCCTGAGAGTAGTTACTTGGTGTACAACAAGAGGGAAAACTAAGGGAATCAATCCAGGGCAGACTAAGAGGTAGAGGTCAGAAGAAAACTATACAAACAGCAGTAGTTAAAGCTAAAAAGAGTTTTTTGCTGTAAAGAAAATGCTCCTTGTGTGCTATCTAGAAAATGCTAGAGACTGAATTTCTATAAATAATATATATAAAACAGAAGAAAACCTCAAGGTGATGGAGAAAGAAGACTAAGAAGCAAACCCATAGCTTCCTTAAAGTCTTTAGTGTGTGGCTAGAAATCTTCATTACAGAGTACTGATGTTACACAATCAGACGTATGTTTTACACACACACACACACACACACACACACACACATACTCCTGGCATCATGCGACTCTGTACCCATGTTGGTTGTTTAAAAAACTGTATACAGTTATTTGGGTTGTTACCAACAATTCTTTTGTTTGTCCAAGCAGGATGGTTAAAACACCTCAGAAATCTCAAAGCAAACACATCTGGATCAGGCTGCTCTTACCAACCAGTCCGGTAAAATTTAGTACCCGATTGCTCATTTCCAAGGAACTAGAGCCTGCGAAACGAAAACCAATAGGAATTCCTCTATCTTGGGTGAGCCAACCGTCTAGAAGCCTGTAACTGAAACGGTGTTGAAGGAGCCTTAGAGATCTGGCCAACACGCCCTTATTTTGTAGGTGAGGAGACCCTAGTGCCCCCATAACTGATGGACAGCTGTGAGCGGCAGAAGCTCGACCGTAAGCACCAATCTCCACACTGTGGACTAGTGAACTTTCTGGGACACTCGGCAGCCCTGCCTGTAGCTAACCGGTCCATGAACAGGCAAAATGCACAATTATCTCAACTGTCTTATGACTCCGGATGTAATCATTAAAATGAGAAAAAACCCTGGTTTATGCAGGTGTTACGCAGGAACTATAGAAAGAAAACTAGACTTTTTAAAAAAGTTATGAAAAATGGAAAATTCCTGAGTAAAGAGATAGACTGTGGTAAACTTAAATATATGTGTTCTATTCATAACTTTAAACTAGTGCCTCCCAAACTCTAACATGTATAAGAATTGCATATCAAGTGCTGAAGTGTGAATTTCTGGGCCGATACCCCAGAGTTTCCAATTCAGTAGGTACAGGGTGGTACCTGGGAATCTGCCTTTCGAGCAGCACCACAGGCGATGTGGGTCAAGGGCAACCACCCTCCACAGGAGCACCCCCCGCCCCACTCCTGCTATACATCCAGCTTCATGAAAGGTGGCGTGTCAGAGTCCTGGTGCAGAGGGTCACTGGGTCAAGTAGCAAAGCTCTGTAACAAAGCATGAGGTGACATTTGGGTCAACCACTGTCAGATCCCACGCCTCTGCGCGCGGGAACAGAAACTCGTCCCACTCCTGTGCTCCACACAGCACGACAGCAGAATTCACACGGTCATCTTCATGACCATTCACGCTTGCCCGACGCTCGGAATCTGCGTCCTGCTGCGTGACGCTCACTAGTTAACCCTCGCAGGGGTCGGTACTGCTTTCCCATCAGATCACAAGAAGAGGGTTAAAGGCGATGCCTCCCCCTAGAGCTGACGGTGCGGGGGTTTAAGCTGAAGCAAGAAGCGCTGCTGGGGGACCAGACCATCGGAGCCGTCGGTCCGGGCGCTCAGGAGGCAAAGTCTTCACATCATCCCCAACCAACGGCTTGGTGACGAGGAATTCCGATATCCCTTCCCTGCCCCCGCAGAAAAATTCAAAACCTCCCAAGTCAATTCCTGAACAGCATGCCAGATTCGGCCTGTTTTGTCTCAAAGACTACGGAGCCGGTTTGTGGGGCAGCTGGTCCTGGAACTCCGCGGGCGCTCCGTTAGAACTCCAGGGCCTCAGTGGTTGGCTGCTGTCAGGACCCTGCTGATGGGTCATTAGTCCAAGCTATGCTGGTAAATTATGTGCTTTTCTTAGTGCTAAACAGACCCCATCACTCCCTGGCCAATCACTTTTGCACTTGAGACTTTTCACGCGCTACACAGACACATTTCTTTGCCAGGTATGAATAAAGGGCCCTTTATAAACTGTGCTGCTGTCTGCAAATGCTGAGATATAATAAAGCCTTTCTGGGGTGTTTTGAAAGATGAGAACTTTCAAACTCAAATTGTGTGTTAATTAATACTGGATTTGCACTCCCATCTGTATATTCTGTAGCTAGTGCCTGTGGCTGCAATAAATATGTCCAATTTACCATTTATTTTTAATGATAGTAAATTTTAATATTTGCTGTCAGCATGGAATTCCCCTCTGGTGAATATACTCTATTAGTATTATATTTAAAACAGATTTCCTCAGTTAACAAAAAATATATAGGGCTACTCCAGCTTTAAAACACATACACACACACTCTCAGAAATTAGGATGAATTATTAATTTGTAACATCTGTGAATGTGTTATGTTACATTGGGAAAATCCCAAGAGAGGCAGGGCAAGCTGTCCTCTTGAAAATGACTTCATATCTGAACACTCTGGGGACACAAGGCCAGGCACTGTGTCATCATGGCCTGTCCTTGATAAACTGCTGGACAGGTTCCATGAATTGTGAATGGAAACATCACTGGCGTCACTAACACTTAAGGATAAACTGTCATGCTCCTTCTCAACAGACATTAGTTTACACTGTATATCGTGACTGACAGAGGCATGAATCTGTCAACAGTCAGTCTTGTTGGGATTTTTATATCTCCCACTGAGAACAGCTTTATAAAAGCTTAAAGTCAGCATGTGACTTCTTTACTATTCCTTACTTCCTTTAAATTCTGTAAAAGCCATTTTGGCTCCAGTGAAATTGACCCCCCCACACACACAAAAATCAGAGAGAAATGACTTGCGTTGCCTTTTAATCTCTGACATCTGAAGGGGTTCTCATCTAATGCGTATCATTAGAATCTAAGGTACATGTTATAAACGCTTTATTCACAAAAAGACTTGACTAGTCTTGGACTAGAACCAACCATTTGGGCGATGCCTTGTATGAGTTTTTGAACACATTTCAATACGCTGTTTCCCCTACATGTTAAAATACGTAAAGTGCTCCTTAAATGCAAGGGTTTTTAAATGTCTTTTCATGGTGTCGAGTTTTCAAGTACGGAGTTGTTTCATAACCTGACTCAGAAGGCTGTTCCCGAAAGCTCCAATATATCCTTCTCTTCTTCATTACCTAATTAAGCTTCTCTGACTGCTTTATATTGGGAAAACTCTACGTGGGATTGTGATATTAACTGCAGAAAATCAAATGCCCTCGAGTAAGGCACATTAGTACTGTAAAATACATGAAAAAGATTAAAGTATGTAAATCAAAGGTCACTTTACACACGCAAATCCAATTTTATACAATCCAGAAGAGTCACCTAAACCCATCCCAGCCCCTCAACTCCCTGTGAGGTGGTCTAAGGTTTTTCACAACAGAAAAAGCCTCCTGGTCTCTGTAAACTGGCAACTTACCATCTTTTCCTTGTTATGCCTTTACAGTACTAATAACAGCTAGATTCCATAGTCTTTTAATGAAATGTATTATTTCCCTTATAATTTCTTACCACTTCCAAGCAGTCAATGATCTTGGTTAGTTTATCTTCAGGCAAATTCTTCAGCAAGGATACACTTCAAAATTAAAAAGAAACCTTTAGTTATCTTCCTGAATTAAACCATAAACACACACCTACATGTAGTTCAAAAAAATTTTACCTGCATCTAAAAAAATTCAATGCACTTAATTTTTCCAAAGTAAACCTCCAAAATATATCACACATAAATAACTGAATTTCAAAGAAACTGAAATTATAAGACCACATGTGATTATAGATATTTATCATAGGCGAATACATAAAGATAGTTAAGATGCCATAAAGAGAAAAAAATCAATTTTTTTCTGTTTGGGGAAAAAACAACACTTTATATTTGTTGTTGGTTTTCAGAGTGAATCACATCCAGAAATGTGCTTCCCTCCACATCTCAGTATCTCTTTTTTTAGCACGAGTAAGGAGCTCGGCTTCCAGAAGAGGATCCGATTTTCATCTAAATCCTTGTAATTAAGTAAAGGCTGAATCCAGAGGGGAATGTAGGAATTAGCATGGAAATGACCCTTGATTATTAGTCATACTGTACTGTCTTTTAAAATTAATGGTAGCCAGGGACAAGGAATTGGAACATTTTTACAAGTAATAATGATATGCAGAGGATGAAATAGGTATTGGAAATTATTATTTGGAAAAAAAATATATCAGGGGTGCCTGGGTGGCTCAGTCCATTAGGTGTCTGGCTTCAGCTCAGGTCATGACCCCAGGATCCTTGCGTTGAGCCCTAAGTCGTCGCCAGGCTCCCTCCTCGGTGGGGAGTCTGCTTCTCCCTCTCCCTCTGCTCTCACCCCTAGTTATGTTCATGCTCTCTCAAATAAATAAAATCTTTAAAAAAATCAGAAATTCCACACAGCATGATTAACCAGTCAAATGATTAAATTATCCTTTTAGAGAAATAGCTCTTCTACCTTACCTTACCCACTTTTACTCAGGACAATTGATATAAATTCTTCTTTCGTACTATCTAAAATTTGACATCTCTCGGGAAAAAAATGATGCTACTCCAAAAATGCATGATTGGATCTATTTTTGAAAAGAGAGCTAGCTCTAGACTGACCCTTGCATGTACACACAGGGAGGCACATCGTCAGCAGATGGAGATATGAGTGTACAGAATCCTTTGTAGCTGGAAAACACTAAAGCGTGCCCCCGCTGGACAAGAGCTGACCACACTGCAGTAGAGTCAGGTAACCTCACACTACCACAGGGGAACTGCCGAGCTAACCTGGTGACATAGAAAAAAATACTGAATAAAAAATTGAGTCACAAAAGTAAGACTTTTTTTTAAAGTTCAAAAATAGGTTAAATCAAGCTATAAGCAAAGTAATAAAGAAAACCAAAGAATGATTACTAAGCTTCAGAATAAAGACCACTCCCATGCAGAGGCATGTGGAGGCTGGGAGATGAATGGGGAGCACGTGAGAGCAACAAACAAAGTTGTCAATGTCCCAGTTCTTGGGCTGGGCTGTGAGGAGCTCCATGACGCTCATTTTGTTGTGTTTCATAACTTACATAACTACTATATACCTTTTACACATATATTACACACTTCATAATAAAAAGATGTAAATGGAAAAGGAGCTCACTGTGTGTTATGAAACCAAGTGAAACGTCTTTCTCTAATCTCCCCTCCTATGAATGAAAAGGTAAAGAAAGGGTAACCAGACTCTTCACTGGCTGACACACGCTCATCGTGAACGTTCTGCCTCTGGTCCAGACTGGGATCTATCATGTGGGTGAAAATTCTCTCCTGTAAACCTGCCACCCTTGGGGATTAGTAAGGAGGCTGGTATGAGGAAAATCTCTAGTCTGTTTTCCTTCTATAAAGAAAGAGATAAGGTTTATCTGGGTCCCCACTGAACCACAGTGTTTAGGGCCTGGCAATAAGGATGTGTTAAATGAGTGCATGAACAAGATAACAAAAGGAAGAAAAAAGGAAAGAAGGTTTGTGTGCTAGTAAATTCGCTGAGCTCCTTCCACTAAGACAGAAGACTCCAGACGCCAAGGGAACGACAGGCAGTACCCAGTGGCTCAAGCTTTATCTCACCTGCTCAAAGGCAATTCACAAGCACTGGTTGATCTATTTACCCCCTTCTCAGCCCTTGCGTGACTGTAGTTCCTTCGCTTTTAGTGCTGACCTGTGTTGCTCAGTTGTCGGACTTTTAGGGCACCCGTACTCGGGCAGACCCCACTACACGGCAGCCAGGATGTTGGCTGGCAACTCAGTAAGGTGCCTGCTCACTGCTGCTGAAGGTCTTTGCCAGGAGGCAGCGTTAACTGTGGGAGGATAAATCAGCAAGACTCTATAGGAAAACCCTTCACACCTACAATGTTCCACTGATGAACAATGCATTCATTCACTATTTATTGAGTCCTTACTATATACTAGGCACTATGCCAGCTCTAAAATCATTGGCTTTGCAGGCTAGTTATGCAAGATAAAATCACTGTAATTAAAAAGAGCTCACAATTATTATTATTATAATTATTATCACCATCACTTATCATAGGAAACATTTTGTTACAGTATGTACTACAGCTGTAGAGACTGTCAAATCTCCCACAAAGAAACATGGAAATAGTTTAAATAAAGAACTTCTATTCTCCAAAAAATATCTGTTTATAGTCATAACTGACTTTTACAGTGAGATAGGTATTTGTTTCTCTATGAATTAATGCATCCGAGTTGTGGGGGGGGGTTACAGAATAGCTCACAAAATATGTTCCAAGGATCTGTGTCATTACGACAAACATAGTAACATTTCTGGCAAGGTAATTTGCTACAAATAATAATAATTTGGAAGATGGGGTGGTTATACAAATGAGAAAAAATGTCTCAGGGAAAGCAATTAAAGACAGTAAAATAAGTTAATTTTAATATTATTCTAACCAAGGCATTACTAGGAAAACTGTCTTTTGCTATCCACTTCCAAATTATAGAATGTGTTTCAAAGTCAACTGAGCAACCGGGGTGAATATTTTAGAATTTTTTGCCCATTCTTCTACACTGTATACGACGACTCTGTCAACACAAGGGCAAATTCAGTGAAAGGAAAAAATCAGTGTGCAGGGCCAACTGGGATTCAATACAATTTTTTTACCTAGTGGCATTTACTGCAAGGGAATACTTTTGCTCCAGTGGTTTAGTCATGTAGAAAATGCTTAAATGAGAAAGGCTACGGTAAAATGATTATTATGATAAAACCAACATGTCCACAATAAGGCCACCCCACCTTCTGCTCTTTGCACCCATGCGTTGTTCTTACCTCCTGAGGAAGTTTCTGTACTGTTCGTCTCTAGCTTGAGCCGTCCTTCTCATTATGTTCTGGAACACCTCTCGATCTAGTGCCCATGTTTTAACGTTGGTAATAGCTTTCAAAAAATCAAGAAAATAATAAAATACTGTTTAGCCCCACATTAAGAAAACATTCCAAAGTGTTAATCAATACATTTTCCATGTATTCTCATAAAATGATATTTCTTGGAAAATGCATTATTTAACATGCAAATGGAAGGAAGTAGTGACATAAATCGTGGGCAATTTCATAAAATCATCTTTGGCTTTGAAATGAACCATGATTTGGAAGTGAGTAGCAAAAGATTTCCTCTCTAATTATGTTTTGCTTAGGATGATATCAAAATTAGTTTGCAATTCCTAATTACATACTACATCATCAGGATGTAGTTCAGATTTGTGCTGCGATACAAGAGAAAACCAGCCAGCTTGTAGCTAGATCAGAGAGCGAAGAATTCACAAGTCGATAATTGGAAGTTTAAGATCTCTCAGTGTATGAGTATGTTTTTATATCTTTTTATGTTGTTCAGACATTGTAGCTAATGAGAACCAATATATTTTAAGGATCTCTATGGTTACTTTTGTATAAAGTGCATACAAATCATTTTCATAGAGATTATGCAAGACAGTTTTTGAGACGATTTTTTTATAGGAAAGACATGGAAAGCAAGAATAAAATCTAAAAAGGAAGAAGAGCAGAAGTTGCAGCTCTAAGAGATCTAGATTAAATTATATTTGCACTTTTTTTTAAAAAGAAGTAATGAGAGCCTATAAAACAAATCAAGACCCAAAGCTTTGGTTTCCCAAAGTTTGGAGCGACTTAGGTTTATCTTGGCATTCTTGTCAAAAATACAGGTGCCTAGGCTCCATTACCAAAGATCCTGACTGAGGTTTGGAGTAAAGTCCCAAAATCTCATTGTTATCAAATCCTGCAGCAATTCTGAGGTGCCCCAGCCAGTCCTAAACACTGAGAAACACACCTAATTAATTCTGCCCAAGATTACCATGAATAAAATCAATAAAAACAGGAACGCTTAAATTAATCCCAGAAGTCACTCATGAAACTCTCACCAATTAATTCTCATCCCTTTTGATATTTATATATTTTCCTTGGTTTCATTAATTTTTCGGGTTTATAATATGATCAGAACATCATGGAGAATGAAAAGCAAATATTCTGGATGAACCAAAGGCAGATGTTTACACAGTTAAAAAAAAAAGTGAAGTGGCAATTAAAGCAAATATTGGAATAATTCAATAATATGAAGCCATTTTCATTTCTATATGCAGGCACCTGATGGAAAGGTTCTCTTAATTTGAATTGTTTAGACATGCGCTTTCAATATAAATCCTGTGAGCACTGCATTTCTATTAACAAGAGCACGTGAGGCACCACGAAAGACAAAATACTTAGCAGGCCATAGTGACTGAGATTGTCATAAGCATTGGGTAACGATTAAAAAATGCAACATGTTATCCCGTTACCTTTCACGGAGGCAGTTCTTGTACAGTTGTATAAAATGGCTAGTTCCCCAAACGTGGTCCACATAGGGATGGATGATAGAAACTTCTCCCCTTGGAACACCTCTAGTCGGCCCTCTGTCAGTCAGAATTAAAGAAAAACACAAATGATCAAAACCCATCTGGATTCCATAAATTGCAAAAGTAAGACAATCAGAAAGTACACAAAGCACACCAGCAAGATATCTTATGATTCTCGTTACAATATTGTGGTCGAGAGTGTAGACCGATAGCAACTTGGCCATGTTAGCTGATCACCCTGAAAGAAAGAGTTATCTACTTTGTCTGAGGTTTTTTGTCTGTAAAGGGAATACTAGAACTAGTATTTACTTCACACAGTGGTTGTGAGAATTAAATACGTTAATATAGGTGGGGAGCTTAGAATAAAGGCTAATACATAGTAAATACCATATTAGTGTTTGCTGTTGTTAATATTATTATCATTGTTACAAAGTTCTTTCTCTGAAGCAGTAGATGGCAAGTGTTGTATTTAAAATACTTTTGGAAGGGGAGGTGAACCATGAGAGGCTATGGACTCTGAAAAACAACCCGAGGGGTTTGAAGCAGCGGGGGATGGGAGGTTGGGGGAACCAGGTGGTGGGTATTGGGGAGGACACATATTGCATGGAGTGCTGGGTGTGGTGCAAAAACAATGAATACTGTTACGCTGAAAATAAATTTAAAAAAATTTTAAAAAATTAAAAAAATAAAAATAAAATACTTTCTACCCCATGAAAAGTAGCACATAAAACTATTTCTCTTGTGCAAGGAACACAACAATCCCTGTATGTCTTGAAAACACAGCAGAGCTGCTCACATTAACAGAAGGACTAACTAGCCTCCCTGAGCAATGCACTGGCCCTGGAGTCTGACTGTCTGGCACTGACTGATCATTGGCTGTAACCCTGGGTAAGTAACTTCACCTTACCTCCACTGTGGTCTTCCCCTCAATCACGGAAACAAATTAACAAATGGAAGCTGATAAGAAAAATGCTTGAGAAAAACAGTATCAGGGGAATTAGAAGACAAGCCACAGACAGCGAGAAAATATTTTTGCAAAAGACACATCTGATCAAAGAATGTTTTGCAAAATATACAAAGAGTTCTTACAACTCAACAAAAAGAAAACAAACAGTCTCATTCGAAAATGGGCCAAAGAGTTTAACAGACATTCTCAAAGGAAGAGACACAGATGGCCAATCGACATATGAAATGATGCTCCACATCCTATGTCATCGGAGAAACGCAAATTAAAACAACAGTAAAATGCTACCATGCGCCCGGTACAATGACAAAACCTGGAGCACGGAGGACACCAAATGTTAGTGCAGATGTGGAGCCAGAGGAATGCTCCTCCACTGGTGAAGGAAACACAAAGTGGGACAGTCACTTTGGAAGACTGTGTGGTAATTTCCTATAAAATTAAACATAAGAGTTTGCCATATAATGCAGCAGCTGCTCTCTTTAGTATTTACCCGAAGAAGTTCAAAACTCAGGTCCACATAAAGACCTGACGCGGACGTTTACTGCAGCTTTATTTGTAACTGCCAGCACTGAGAAACGGCCGAGGTGTCCTTCAACGGATGAACAACACACTGTGGTCCATCCCGACAGTGGGGTATTACTCAGTGCTTAAAATGAAAGGAGCGATCAAGCCAGGAAGAGACCAGGAGGAAACTTAAGTGCACACGACTACGTGAAAGTAGTGAATCCGAAAGGGCTACACAGTCCATGATTCCAGCAATAAGATATTCTGGAAAAGGGAAATGATGCAGAAAAACAAAGAGATTAGTGGTTGCCAGGCATGGGGTTGGCTGAGAGGAACAGGTGGAGAACAGAGAACTTTTAGGGCAGTGAGAAATGCTCTGCATGGAATTATAATGTTAGGTTCCATGTCACTAAACATTTGCCTAAACCCACAGAAGGCGCAACACCAAGAGCGAACCCTAAGATGACTCTGATGAAGTATCAATATAGGTTCATCCTTGGTTAAAAAAAATAAAAAATAAAAAATAAATAAAAGGACCATTCTGGTCAGTGATGTCGATAATGGTGTAAGCTATGCATGTGTGGGGAGAGAAGAGTAAGGAAAATCTCTGTATCTCCCTCTCAACTTTGTTGCAAACCTAAAATAGATCTAAAAAAATGTTTTGTCTTGTAAAAATGAGAAAGGGTCTGACACCAATCTTTATCTAGGCAACAGTTGGGGGAAGGGGAAGACAGCAAACTCCTCACAATTCCTTTGCCTGGTGATTCTCTCCTCCTTTCCCCTTGAACAAGTGTGAATAAAACCTTGCCTAACAAACAGTCATGTGCTAAAAAGACCTACATTCTTAAAGGAAGAAAAATGGTGGGGTCATTCTCTTTCCCTTGAAGAATTACTCTTTCCTTCTCCCAATTCACCACCAAGCAGCTCTGGGTCACCTCCCTCCAACCATCCATTCACCAAATCGGATTTGAGTACCTGTGTTGTACCAGGGGTTGGTCCAACAGCCTTCGAGACAGTGTGGACAAAACACAAAAGATACTTACTCTGATAGAACTTAAATTGTAGTAAGAAATAAACTCTGTTTTGGCTCCAAATCCTACAGACATGATACAAAATTTAATAATTTCTCATTACAACTAAATTCTACTCCATTGAAAGCACTTAGTAGTACCGTTGAGTTGATATCATGGACTGTCATGCATTTCAAGTTTTTTTTTTCCTAATTGGTGATGACTCATGGTACTTGAGCAATACTGAAGAATTACATGGAATATCAGAAGTTTAAGCCAAATATGCTTTTATTATGGACTATTCATGCCGTATGTTATAAAGGGGAGATTTTTAATTAATTTGCTCCATCAATTACATCAGGCAAGTCAGTCCTTAGATAATACTGTAATCAATTCAAAATAAGAAATGGTCCAATTTTCATTGTCGTGTGTGCTCTAGCCCTGATATCTATGACTGTGTTGAAACAAGTTTCTGTCCTAACTCTTCTCTGCCCTCGCCTTTCGCTGGAGTCACTGGCAAGGAACCTGATGGGATGACATGAGTTTCTCATCCTTTCCTAGCAGGTCCATGAAAATTGTTGGGTTAATGATCTATCTCTTCTTGTCAGAATTTCTGGTGTTGCTAAAGTAGAAGTGAAATGGCCAAGAAAAACGCTGAAAGAGGGGAAATTGCTCTGGATCTCTGTCCCTAAAAACTTGAAGGCTAGCTAAATTCAGACCGTAATTCACTTCCTGGGTAGAATAATTACTTGAGAATGACTGCGTAATTTTAAGGGTGTCTACAAAGATGTTTACAGCAAATAAACACCAATATTTATGGAATAGAGTGTCTAAAGAATCAAAGTATATGAAAACAATCTTTCATACGGTTATAAATAGAATATTACATGTTTATTAACTTGTTTGAATAGGCAACTTCTGTTCCATCCCTAAGGCCCTAAGGAAACAAGGATCATAAAAGCATTCTTAGATTGCCAGGAACCAGCAGTAGAAAATAAAAGGTCACAGGAAATCTCAGTTTACCACTCCATTTGGTTAAGCTGCTTTAACTTTCTCCCTAAAACTCAAAAAGTGGGTGATTCAGAATTTGATAAGGTGTTCAATAAGCGTATACCCTGTTCAGATCATATCTTGCTTTTGTATCTAAAATAACTTTTAAGTACCATATAAGGCATGCATTTGATATGCATTTAAGAAATCCTTTGCTTATCTGATTTTTAAAATCTATCCAGCATGTAAACATGTTCCTATAGGATATATGTAGAAAACCATTTAAATGGTTCTTAAAACATCAGTGTTAATCTTCAGGCATTCCATTTGAGTCATGTGTGCTTACATGTACCTAAATTATCTTTTAAAGTCATTTGTATATAACCAAAGTACTTCACAGAACCACAAAAATAACTGTTTGCCTTATCCTGTTGCAACCACCTAAAAATGTCCACATGAGCAGCAATATTTTGAATAGAAGTGCCTTTTTGTAGTTGAGCAAGTTGCCTGTGACCGAGAGTACCGGCTCAAGTCAGACTGCCTACATCTGCACGTGGGAGCTCTGTGGCCTTTCTGAAGTCACTTAACTTCTCTGTGACAGAGTCCAAGTCTGGAATATGGAGATAACAGCACATGCCTAACAGAGTTGGTGAGATGGTAAAATGAGATCCCTCTATTAATGCTTAACAGGGGCCTGACATAGAAAAAGCATTCAGTAAACATCACCATCACCAGAATGATTAGATTGACCATGTTACTATTTCATGAACTCAGATCTGTGATGTTGTGTATACACAGAGCAACCAGTGTTGCACTTTGATAAATGTTTGTAAAAAATCATAAGACAGTAGGCAAAGTATTGTTGTATGATACCTGGAAAAACCCGTGAAACCCACCTGCTAGCACAAAGATGTGGTTTCCTGGTTCTCCTTGCTTAATAATGTAACTGCCTTGCTGGTAGTTCCTCCCGTACATGCATTCCACCATGTCTTTGATCTGCTGAGGATCCAGTCTCTTTAGAAACTGGTTTTTATTAAGGGCATCTGTAATGAGCTTCTTCTCACTGGCGTAATGGGAAAGAGATGAAAAGTGACATTGATGAAAATGATGTTTTGTTGTTTAGATTTACTTTATTTAGATTTCTAATATCACCACCTATGTACTTACCACTTTTCCAGGAGGGACAAATTTTCTTCTGGCCTCACCCACACGGACCCTTATAACTACCATACTTCACATACAAAACCTTTAAAAATATTTTGAATAGTTTTCTGTAATCGGCATTACATCAGTTTTATCACTCCCAGCTGTCGCCATCGCACACGCAGCATCTCTCAAGATCTCTAGGTTAACATATTTAATAATATTTGTAATAGTAATGGATACATGATTTTTTTTAGACGGAGAGAAAATCTGGCTGGTCGAAGGTCATTTAAGAGACCACCACAAAGGATGCATTTATTCATGTACATTTGCATGCATAGTGCCTATAGTAGAAGTTATTTTATATTTTATTTAATCTTCCTGTGAGATAATTACTATTCCTACTTTCTGGAAAAATGGACTAAAAAGTAAGAAGCAACTTAATACCCCTAGGATTTCAATCTAAGTCCGAGGGTTGGAAGACTACTGCCTCTTCTGAGCTAAAGAAGTCAGCCCCTTTGGGACATGCTAGGTTTGATCAGAAACAGAGGGTGATTGTGGCAGGCTGGGTTCACCTAGGTTTTGACCCTCAGTGTGTCTAGACTAGACAGAACATACATTTCCAATCTCATAACCTAGTCATTTCCCAAATCCAAGGCCCTCTTGTTGATAGTCCTTGAACATTCTGTTTTCTTTTGGAAAAGAAGTAGCTCAAAATAATTACCCAATCTTCCTTACCGTAAATTTAAAAAGTTTTAATTAACATACTTTTCCATAGTTATCATAGAACTATTGAGCCGGCAGGAAAGCGGCCTCGTGGGCTGTTAGAATCCCTGCACAACACACTTGCTTTCAGTCAAACTCAGTGTGATTTCTAAAAATAGGGGTTTCTTTTCTGCATCTTTCCTTCAAACTCTTTCCTGCCACTAGCTTTCCTGTTTCAAAACTTGTCATATTTTTTTGGGACGCCTGGGTGGCTCAGTTGGTTAAGCAGCTGCCTTCGGCTCAGGTCATGATCCCAGCGTCCTGGGATCGAGTCCCGCTTCGGGCTCCTTGCTCATCAGGGAGCCTGCTTCTCCCTCTGCCTCTGCCTGCCATTCTGTCTGCCTGTGCTCGCTCTCTCTCCCTCTCTCTCTTTGACAAATAAATAAATAAAATCTTAAAAAAAAAAAAACTTGTCATATTTTTCTACACAGAAAGTTCTCAAACATAAGTAAAATTTCATGGATTGGCTCCTTCCTGGATGACCCCACCCATCAGATCATGAGGTTATGGGAAGAAGACAGAATGAAGAAATTCCTTCTGCCCTCCAGTGACTCCATCACCCTTGGAGCCACACAAACTCTTTGAGTACCCGGAGAACTTACCTCCTCCTGCAACTAACCTATCACCAAACCTGTCATGTCTCTTTACAAAAATATCAGTTACTCATTTCAGTTTCCGTTTTCAAGGATGTCACCACGGTCCAAGAAAAAAACTTGGGTCTGTACAATGTTAATAGCTTCTTTTTAAAAAGAGTTTCAGCTTCTAGCCTCTTTCCCTGTAGTCGATTCTATACTTTATTATCAGATTATTCTTGCTAAAAACTGACTTCATCCTGATCTCATTTTCCCCTCATCTGCTAAAGCCAATAATTCATTCAGCTGATATATATCGAGAAAATATGTTGACAACATGTTCTTCTCAGAGCAAGCATCTGAACAATGCCAAAAAGGCCCCAGCTTTCACAGGCCTTTAATGCTCTCCTAACATTCCAGCCAGTGTTTCATCAATGCCCACATGGCCTAATTTCCCAAAATATGTTCCAAGAAGTGCTTTTCCTTTATGAGCAAAAGTGTGCTGAGTTGAACAATTTTGGAATTCACAATGCATACTTTCAGAGTTCAAAGAAATCTTCCAGTAAACGAATCTCTTAAACCAATGTTTCCAAACCTCAGTGTCTTTTTTATTTATTTCTTCTTTTGGCTTAACTTCTATGAACATTCCATGGAAGCAGTCTGAAAACCCTTTTGCCCATAGAAGAAAAGCAACATCCCACAATCTGGTATTCACCATTTCACACCACATGACTCCACTCCATCCATCCAGTATTTACTTGCAAAAAAAAAACCTTTGCTTCAATAGGCTGGTATCCTCATGGCCTCATATGCCTGCCAGCTTTATCATTAGGCTGAGTCTCTGTTTTCTCCTCTAACTTAATTTCTTCTTCCCTCAATCAGCTCAAGCTTTATAATTCTCCCTTTATGATCTAGCCGACCTGCCCAGGTGCTGTAGCTCACACAATCCTTTAAGTCTATTCTAAACTCCTAGAGTATTGTATCCATGTCTATTCAATTCAACAAACTTTATCAAACATTTACTTGGGGCGTAAAAATTAACTAAGCATGGCCCATGATCTCAAAGAGTTTCCAAATCCTTTTAACTTAATTGAGTGTATAACCCTATTATAACATCCCACTATTAGAAAAGGGTTCTCTCTATAACTTTTTCTCCAAACAAGATTAAAATTCTTTTTTTTAATTTTTAGAAAGATTTTATTTATTTATTTGACATAGAGAGGGGGAGGAGAGCAAACACAAGCAGGGGGAGCAGCAGGCAGAGGGAGAAGCAGGCTCCCCGTTGAGTAAAGAGCCCAATGTAGGACTCAATCACAGGACCTTCGGATCATGACCTGAGCCAAAGACAGCAGCTTAACCAAATGAGTCACCCAGGTGCCCCAAATTATAAATTCTTGAAGGACTGGGTCTTCTCTTAAAATGTCTAAGAGGCAGCATAGCAGTGACTAAGAGTATGAACTTGGCCACTCCTTCTCCAACAATGATAGACCAACTGTTACCAAAACAACTGTCCCTGCTCACACAGTACAACTCCCAAAGCTAAAGTAGATATTCACAAATTTGTTTGAAAGCACTGGGCACCTATCAACATAACCACAGCTTGAAAAGCTGTCATCAACAAGAAAATATGAGCTTGACATTCACCTCTGCTTTTCCCTTCAAGGCATTTGTTGATTTGTACCCAGCACTGAGCAGAGTTTTGGCAGTCTCAAAGGACTAGGAAGACCAAAGTTAATGTTCAAAGTACACCGTGAAGAAAGAATCCTGGTAAACACCCAGGATTTCAGAGGGAACATCCATAGGGCGGTACCTAGAGTAAGCACCAGCCCAAAAGAGGCTAGCTCTGGAAAAGACTGATCACTAACTTCAAAGTGACAAATCCCATTTTGGTTCAAATGATTTGTTCCTAGCCTGACTGCCTGCCACAAGCAAAGGTAAGTGTTTTCTCCAGGATATTCACAAAATCTAGAGACTCAAATTTTCTCTAGAGCTTTCCCCTAAAGAGTATGTGGTAAAACATCCAGCATACCAAGAGAAAAGACCAAATGAGTGAAGACCAAGAGGAAAAAAAAAAAAAAAAAAAACCAAAAGAACAATAGAAAGAGACCTAACAGATCAACATATTGTAGGTATCAGATACAGAATTTCAAATAATCTTATCCAAAGAAAACCATATCTAAGATCATCATAGTCAAATTAATGAAAACCAAATAGAAAGGGGAAACCTGGGATGCAACTGGAGAAGCAACAATTACCTCAAACAACTAGTAAATAAGTTAAGGAGTTAGGTGACTTACTCCTCAACTGAAATAAAAGAAGCCAGAAGACAATGGGATTTCTCCAAAGAGCTTCACAATGCCTATTTCCACTATCTTAACCCAGTGAAAATGCCTTCAAACGTAAAAGCAAAACGAATACATTTCAAAATGGCATTCCATTGACAACAGACTCATAATGTTGGAGAGCTCCAGACAAACAGAAACGACCCCAGATGGAAACGACTAGATGCTAGAAGGAAGAAAGAGCAACGGACAAAAGAGGCATCAATGACCAAAGGAAGCTCATCTTTACAAAAGTAACAGCAACACCTCGAGGATTTTAAAATGTTTGAGAACAACAGTGAAGCTGTGCGTGGGGTGGGCGAGATGGCAGTAAACATAATTTAAGGTCCAGGAAGTGATAAAAGCACTAATCTATTTTTAGAAATTTACTAAATTAAGGAAGCATGTTATACTTTAGGGTAATCCTTATAAGATGAGCCAAATAATGTTTAACTAGAAAGCTAACAGAAAAGAAAACAGAATAATAATATGCATCTAATCAACCCTAGAAAATGTCAAGAAAGTAAAGAAAAAGAAACTAAAGAAGTGTAACAAATAAGAAACAAATACTACTATGGTAATAAGTAAATATTTGTATTTACATTAAAGATACATATACTAAATACTGCAATTTAAAGAAAAGACTGTCAGATTGAAAAATAAAATAAAAGGGAAATATGAAATGTGTGTTACTTATAAGAAGCATTCCTTAAAGATAAGGATACAGAAAGGTTGGAAGTAAGAAGGTAGAAAGAGGGGCACCTGGGTGGCTCAGTGGGTTAAGCCGCTGCCTTCAGCTCAGGTCATGATCTCAGGGTCCTGGGATTGAGTCCCGCATCGGGCTCTCTGCTCAGCAGGGAGACTGCTTCCCTCTCTCCTCTCTCTCTCTCTCTCTGCCTGCCTCTCTGTCTACTTGTGATCTCTCTCTGTCAAATAAATAAAATCTTTAAAAAAAAAGAAGGTAGAAAGAGATATTTATATTATATAAACACCAATTATAAAGAAAATGTTTCTTGATATAGGTAACTAGAAAAACACATTTCTAGAAATAAAGATGGATATTTCATATTGATATGATCAGGAAATACAGGTATTCTAAATCTGTATGCAATTAATTAGATAGCATCACAATACGAAAAACAAAATTGGCAAAAATAAAAGAATAAACTAATCCACAATTGTCTTGGGAGATTTTAATACATCCCTTTAAGTAACCAACAGGACAAGAGACAAAAATCAGTCAGAACACGGTTTTAAACAGG